CTCACTCTACCTGTACCACTGCTAAAATTTTACTTTTCTTTATGTACCCTTTTCTGAGAAATCCTTAAGTATTATTGTTAACGCAATAAGTCTCCCAATTAACTTCTCAAAATTAGATTTAGTCTGTCCAGTTTTATTACAGTGGATGTATATTATTTCTTTATATCATTTTTAGGTTTGAGCTTTTCTCCTTTATTATTTGCTACCTCTTTCATTCTGAGAGTTTGCATTTCTCCAGTTTCATTGTGGATTTCCATGTGACCATTTCTTCACACGTAACTGTACGTGAGAGTTATCATAGCTCCTAACAGTACTACTGCTTCTCAGATTTTTGATAACTGATGCTTGTCTATATAAGTCTTGAGGGTTTCTGGAATTCTTCCATAATTGTGATTACTCTCACATTCTCAAAGTTCTCTCTAACTTCAGTGATCTAGTGAACTAGTGATCCCCAGATAGCAAGAGCTGCAGATGCTGGAGTCAGAGTCGGTACAGTGTGGAGCTGGAGGAACACAGCAGGTCAAGCAGTGTCAGAGGAGCAGGAGAGTCGATGTTTCAGGCCTAGACCCATCATCAGGACTCTTACTGAGAAAGGAGATGTGGCTGTAATACCGGGTTTGTTTCAGTATGTAGTCGAAGAGCTTCAGGGCAGAGGAGATCACCAGTGGGTTGCAGTGGGAGAGAGATCCACTGAGGTCTTTCCAGAGGGAGGACGACAACTTCTTTAAGGTGGGCATCCTTGGAAGAGGCTTCGTAGTGGAGTTATAAGTCACTTGGAGATAACAAGAACTGCAGATGCTGGAGTCGGAGTCAATACAGTGTGGAGCTAGAGCAACACTGCAGGTCAGGCAGCATCAGAGGAGCAGGAAAGTAGACGTTTTGGGCCTAGACCCTTCATCAGGACTTATGAAGGGTCTAGGCCTGAAATGTCGACTCTCCTACTCCTCTGATGCTGCCTGACCTGCTGTGATCCCTAGATCATCCTTTTCTGTTGCTAGTTCTATAATTGGATATTTAGGTCTTTTTCTTGTTGTCCTAAATTTCAATTGAGATGCTTCAGGGATGAGCTCATAATCATTGAGCATTGTTCTTTTAACAATCTGCAGATTGCCCTTCTGATAAACTGGTGTACACATTCAGAGCTGTAACTATCACAATAATCTACCATTCGGGTCCAAACATCCTTTGGTCACTTGAACTTCGAAGCTATATTTTAAAATGAGGCAAGATATATTTTGATAACTGTAAGCTCAGGCACGAGCCACAGATTTCTAGTTAAACCAGATCCTCATTAGAATCAGAATCATCCTCTGAGCTACTCTCTCTTCTTTTACTCAAAGCTTTTCTCTAGTCACACCATGTTGTCTGATTACCAGTTTTTTAATTCTTGCTTTTTAATTACCATTTCCCTTTATTTCCCCTCACTTTGTAATTTAAGTTTTCCTAGTTCAAGTTCTCTTTCCATTGCTCTTTTCATTTCTCTTTTTGAAATTTTTAGTGCAAGTTTCTTTCCTAAATGAATCTTGGCAGTTCTAGCTGTGACATCTCAATTTCAGATTTCCCTTCTTTTACTTTGAAATGCTGGGTAGTTATTTTAAGTGCCTCAATCTTCTGTGATCCTGTTTCTGTTTCTGTCTTTAGTTTATCCGCTAACATTCTCAAATGTAAATTTAGCCAAAATTTCAAATGTTACTTTTTCTGCTCCTTGAAAAGTCTTAGCATCACTGAAAGCTATTTTGAAAGTCCAACTCATATACTATACAACACAGAATAATCCCATTTTTGGTCTACTATTCTTAAATTCAATGAATTTCAGCCCAAAACTCCCTACTTTATTACAGGTGATGGTAATACTAGACAAGTTGGAACCCAGATTGAAACCTAGCTTGGTACTCCATTTGATTTGATTAAATTTGATTTGATTTATTATTGTCACATGTAACGAGATACAGTGAAAAGTTTTGCGGTGCTAACTAGACAAATCATATCTCACGTAAGTACAACAGGGTAATAGAACAGAATGCAGAATATAGTGTTACAGCTACAGAGAAGGTGCAGAGAGAGATCAGCTCTGATTATGAGAGGTCCATTCATAAGTCTGATAACAGCAGGAGAGAAACCGTTCTTAAATCAGTTGGTAAGTGTTTTCAAACTTTTGTATCCTCTGCCCAATGAAAGAGGGTGGAAGAGAATATAACCAGGATGGGAGGTGGTCTTAGATTATGTTGGTTGCTTTCCCGAGGCAGCAGGAAGTATGGATGGAGTCCATGGAAGTAAGGCTGGTTTTCGTGATGGATCAGGCTGTGTTCACAAATCTGTGTAAGTTCTTGTAGTCTTGGCAGAGCAGTTGCCATACCAAGCTTTGCTTACTATGGTGCTTCTATAAAAACTTGAGAGAGTCATTATGGACATGCCGAATTTCCTTAGTCTTCTGGGGAAGTAGAGGCGTTGGTGTACTTTCTTGACTGTAATGTTAATGTGGATGGACCAGTATAGATTGTTATTCGTGTTTACTCCTAAGAATTTGAAGCTGTCAACCATCTTCCCCCACCTCAGCACCATTGATGCAGATGGGGGCACGTCCTCCACCCGGCTTCCTGACGTCGATGACCAGTTCCTTCATTTTTATGACATTGAAGGAGAGATGTTGGTCTTTACACCGTGCCACTAAGCTATCTATCTCTTTCCTGTACTCTGTCTCATCGTTATTTAAGATCCGACCAGTATGGTGATCAGCAAATTTGTAAATGGAATTAGTGGTGGTCATTAAACATACTCTCAAGAGGCTGCCAGTGTGCTTTTAACAAAAGAACTTTAAAACTATTACAAAAGGAAAAGGAAGAGAAACAAAGCTGCTTATATAAGATAATTGAGAAAGATCTTATTATGAACAACAAAAAAGAGGATTGAACTCTTATTCCCAGCAATATCATTACAGGCAGTCAATCCCAGTTAAGCATCACTCCTATCTTCACTCTTTAATCTCTTACTCAACAGGTGATATCCCAAGCCTTTTCATTTGGTGATTTCCTGCAAGTTCACCAGATATCATTCTGTCTATCTTCCTGAGAGACACAAATACAGGCTAACCTATTGACTTATTTCATTGAACTCTATGGAAGAAACACAGGTCTTCTTTGCAGCTACTTTGACTACTTCATGGCTACTAAACAACAGATCCATTGGTATGAATCTTCTTTTGAACTGGGCCTGCTTGTGTCCTCTGGCCCTTCCCTTTCTGGGGTGTAAAAGCTCAGCTTAGTCAACATTTCAACAGTTATCTCTACTTTAAAATCCAGCTTCCTAAATAATAATAAAATATTACAATTTTCATCAGAGAATCATTTTTATAGGCATTGAAAAGATATTAAAGGATAACAAGATATAAAGAGAGAAACTACCTGGTACAATTCAGTTGATTATGAAAAAAAGAGAGGTTAGAATTCTAAAGTTATCTTGTAGAAGCCTAAGGTAGAAATAAATAAGTTGGACTGAGAGGGAAACTTGAAGTGGCAAGCATCTTCAAACATCCTTTTGAAATCATGATAATGCTAATGCTACCATACAAAATACAGATTTTAGATGAATTGGTTATTCACTAGTACAGAAGATATTATGATGAACAGTAAATATTGTGCCTCTATCTGTTTTCTACCATTGCAAGCAAACACTGACTAGAAGTAAGATGAGGGAAGAATCAACACGAGAACAGTCACTGTGGAAAGTGGAGAAGGAAGGAAATTAGATTGATGGAAGATATGAAAAGTAGGATCAAAAGTGAGGACAAAAAGACTTACTAATTGGGAAGGCAGAGATCAAAAGTTTAGAAAATTAGGCAGACGTGATCAAGGTCCTTGTTAACCATAAATCCAGAAATCCATTGAGAAAAGGTATCAGAAACTCGAGTAGAGCATTAGTAAAGGAATATGTTTAAGAGAAAGCTTTTCAACCTTTATAGAAAGGAAAACTTAAAGTAAGTATACTCCTAAATTATGTATGAAAATATACAGACTTATATTAGATATCCATTGAAACTCGATCTTCAAAGGTGAAGAACAAGTCCAATTTGAGATGCAATGGTGAGGGATTTTGTGGAAATTGGAATAATATTCAAATGAAGTTGTTTAGGTTGCCAAAAGAACAGGAAGCAATAGGAACACTGTCTGTGCAAGGGAAGACAAACTTATAAAGAATACCTGAAAAGGATTCTAACAAGTGGTTTTAAAAAGAAGCAGCAATGGGAGCCATGCTGGTCCTTACATGTAAACAAAAAAATTCATTTCGTTCACACACATTCACGCCCACATTCCATACAAGAATAAAGAAAAAATATCTGCTGGTGCAGAGGTATAGATGGATAGTCTTCTAAGAGATAGAAGTTGAGTTTTGGTGAGGGAGCCTTTACAGAATGTGGGTATCATTTGGAATGCCAGTATTTATTACCTATCTCTAATTGCCCTTGAACTGCTAGGCCATTTCATAGTGCAGTTCAAATTGAACCACAGACGATCCATCTGGAGTCACATGTAGGCAAGATCAGTAAGGATGTCAGATTTCTTTCCTAAAAGATATTAATGCTCTCAAACTCAGCTTAGCTTAACCCAGGGTCAGCTAGAATGCTAAAGTTGAAAATAGTTTGGTACAGTCTGTGATAGTAACCAGGGAATGGGATGAAAATGGTGGCTATGGAATAGAGTTTGTGTCAGAGGCTGAAGAAAATGGTAATGGTCATTCCAGAAGTTAACTGGAGGACATTTCTGCTGATTCAGTGCTAGAAGTCAGAACAAGCTAGAAGTCAGAACAGTCAGAACCAAAGAACATATCCTCTGCTTTGCAGAGGTGATAATATGAGAGTTGGAAAAGAAGCCATACAAGAAATTCACCTGACTACAGTTGAATACATAAGAATGAAAGCAGATTGGGTGCTGTACTGGACTCAAAACATTGTCTGTTTCTCTCTACCAGACTTCCTGAGTTCCACCATCACTATTTTATTTCAGATTTCCAGCATGAACTGTATTTTGCTCTTCTATAGTAATCTAGAGCCTTGGATCAATAATCTGGCAACAATCCTAGAGGTAAAAATGCAAATGTTACTGAATTTAAATTCAACTAATTAAATAAATCTTAGATTAAAAATGTTCTATTTGTTTCATGATCATGAAGCTACCAGATTCTGGTGAAAACAACAATTTCACTAATGACCTTCAAGAAAGGAAACCCATCCTTACCCAGCCTGGGATACATGAGACTTCATGGCTCTTGCATGTCCTCGAAAATAGTCTATCCAGCTACTTGATTGTATCAAAAACTACTAAAACAGATTGCACCAGTTCATAAAGATTGCTCATCATCACCTTCACGGGTATTTAGAGGTTGGCCTTGTCAGGCATACCCAGGTCCCATGAATATATGACTAAAGAAGTGTCCTGAGATTGATACAATTGATATTGTAGATTCTAAGCATGAACAGTTTGCTTTCTTACACTGTAAGTATTACTACTGTTTGTTGAAGAATCCCAAAACTGATAGTCTAATTGCACTTTGCCATCAATTAATGCACCTTCCGCAATGATTATTGAGACACTCAGTGTCCGAACTAATCAGTTTCTTGATTTTTCACAATTTCATTTTTAAGTTACTGAAATTTGTAATTTTCCTTAATGTTCACTCCTTTATTAACAACATCTTCATATCTAAGCTAATTTCTATAACAACAGCAAATTTAAATTGTATTATATTGCTCCTGATGTATTTTCTCACAGTAATGATTGAATGTTTTTATACATTGTCCTATACTAACCATTTTCATCTCTTTTATGTTTAAATTTTGACAGATTGTGTGTAATTCAGATAAATCTTGGGAAGTATTACTAAGCCACATCATCTGTGAACTGTCAAAAGGAAAGCTTTACTGTACCAGTAACACAGATCAAGTATCAATGGTATGTACAAAGATAAATATATTACATGGGCTTACTAATATGTCATCTTAAGGTAGGTTTTGATGAAAACCCTTCATTCTAATTCCTTCCAAAGTAAGTCATTTTCTTTTAAATGAGACAGAAAGTTGAGATTTATCCCTAACTCTGTAAAGTCTAAATTCTAGACGACTCTATTGGAGCTGTTTGGGGCACTAAGAAACATTCTAACCTTGGAAGCAGTGTAGACAAGAGCCACAAAATTGATCTGTAAGGTCATAATTTTATTATGAGGAAGTGTTAAGTAGCTCTTATTACATAGTTTTGGAATGAGGAAAATAAGAAAGAACGTTATTCTATTTACGAAGTGTGTTGAAAATGGTTAATCTCATGCATTGACTTAAACTGGCTGTGTGGTAGAAGAGGCAGAGATACCTAGTCAGGTTTAGGACAGATGTCAGAAAGTCCATATTCATACAAAGAATGATAAAAACCTGGAATAATCTTCTAACAAGAATTGAAGAGGCAGCTAAGATAGAGGATTTTATGAAGGCTATATTTCTATGAGAAAATGAACTAAATTAATCATACAGTGATGCAAATCCCGTGCTTTACTTTGACACATCTTCCTGGCATCCATACCAGATGTTAATCACATGTTCTCTGCAGAAAAAGAAAAGCTTTGGAGCATTTGTTGTTCATAGTTGTGAAACAATGACCTTGTGCTGCCTTCATTAGCTGTTCAAATTTACCTTTTCCCACTAAATACCTTATGGATCAAAAATGAGAGTGGACACGTCTAAAGTAATTTGCAAAAAAGCAAATGCGACATGAGAAAAACTTTTCCACGCCTCTTAGGATCTTTTATGTTTCAATTAATTTGCCTCTTAATCTTCTATACACCAGCAGTTACAAACCTAGCGTGTCTAACCTTTCTCATAAGACAACTCCAGGTATTAGTTTATTAACCCTTCTCTGAGCTGCTGTCAGTGCATGTAGAATGCACTGAATGGAAATGTGGATGGGGACAGATTCAATTGAGGCAGTCAATTGCATAATTATTTGAATAGAAACACAATGTGGAGGGTTGTAGAGGTAAGATAGGAGAATGGCACCATTGTAATGCTCGTTTGAAAAGGTGGTGCAAACACAATGGGCTGAATAGTTTCCCGCATTGTAACAATTCTGTCATTCTGTGGTGTAAAGTATCCCCTCTAATGTGTTGCTTTAGATATTTGAAGAATACTAGGTTATCAAATCATTCTTTAAAGCCTTTCCCTCTGAAATTTTTCTTTCTGGTTTCACTAATCTCTTTGATTGCATTTCACCCAAAATATGATGTATGGTTGTGTGATGAAAAACCAGGTATTCAATTGCTCTGAGCTTCTCACAGTACTATTAATATCTGGACCTAACAATATAATTTGTCACCTGGTGACACACAAATAAAAAATATCGTCCCCATAAATATAGGCACAATATCTTTTCTCTCCTTCTCCCTCCCACCAACCACCCCTTTAAAGGCGTGAAAGGAAAAACTCATTGGACCATCTCTGGCTCTGCCAGAAATAAAATGGAGTGAATATGTTTTGGCTTAATATGTTCAAAACCTAAGACACCGTCAAGCTCAATGAACAAGTCCATAGCCATATTACATATTAATGCTGTGTTGCGCACTGCTCCAATATATATTTATTATAATATTTATAAACTAAAATATATTACAAATGCTATCTATATCATGACTGTTGAATCTATGCATTACTTTTCCTCTTCTTCATTATGTGAATCTGTTTAATCTTCTTTATAAAAGCTAGTTTTAGTTATTTTCTGCAACAAAAGGACCATTAAATAACGAAAAACATTTCTTTGGAATTCCTATTTTTCTCCTACATTCTGCAAACAAAAACTATCCTCACACACTACGGCATATTAAAGTTGTGTTGTTACGTCAACATCTTTTGTATTTATATAGCACCCATAGTATATAAAGATATTCCAATGTGTTTCACAGGAGCATTATGAGATAAAATTTAACATTGAGCCTTATAAGGAGATATTAGGATAGATGGACAAAGGCTTGCTCAAGAAGAGATACTTTAAAAAAGATGTTTTTTTGGAAATTCTTTCTTGGGAAGCAGGGTTTGCTGGCAAGGCCAGGATTTGTTCTCCATCTCTAGTTATTCTTTAACTGAGTGGCTTGCCATGTTATTTCAGAAGGCAGTCAAGGGTCACTGACATGGCTGTGGGTCTGAAGTCACAAGTAGGCCAGATCAGGTGAGGATGGCAGATTTTCTTCCCTGGATTTTTAATGACAATTAATGGTAGTTTCATAGTCACCATTACTAAGACTAGTTTTCGGGTCAAAATGTGACTAATTGATTAAAATTCCAACAGTGCTCGTGGTGGCCACTGAACCAGTGACCCCAGAGCATTATCCCGGGCCTCTGACTGCTGGTCCAGTGCATTTATCACTATGCTCCCAGTTTCCCCGTTCAGAAGAGAAGGGATAGGTAATGAACTCCAGAGTCTAACACCTAGAGATTTGGAGACATTCTGCCATTGGGGAAGCAGCAGAGGTCAGAACTGAAGGAAGGCCAGGTCCTTGTGGGAAAGTCTGAAAGTCATGTAGAGATGTTTGGGGTAAAGATAATGGAAAGATTTTAGTAAACGGATTAGAATTTTAAAATGAAACATTTTTGGATGGTGATCGAAAATAAAACTGTAAACGTACTGGTAATAGATAAATAATTGGGTTATGATAGGTGCAGCTAAAATTTCAATGGGTTCAATTTTATGTAGGGTGGTTAATAGGAGACCATCCAGGAAAGCATTAGAATAGGCTAGTCTGGATATAATCTAGATGAGGGCTACAGAACAGATAGGCTGAGGCAGGGGTAGACACCACTGAGACAGTAGGGATGATATTTAATTTTGTTGGATGAATTGATTTGAAAAATTAATATAATGACTGGGAATAAATAAAAGCTATTTACAATATATTTAAGTCTGAAGATAGCCAGTATTTATTTGTATTTTAGTTTCTTTTGAGAGTTAGGGTAAATGTTTGTTCTGTCTTGGATTTGGTAATATACCCATTCTATGAAATAAGATACTATTAACTCAGTCTCAACAGTTTTTAACCGCTGCATCCTGCTAGTAACGGTTGCAAATGACTCAGTGGTATAATAATTAATAGTTTGCTGCATAAATAAATGATTCTCACGTGACTTAAAAAATAAATACAAACACTGAAACCTAAAAATAAATGAAGCTAATGTGTGAGAAGGGAAACAGTTGAAAACTTTGTGTATGTTTATTTTATTGGTAACTGTTGACAGTTTGAATATGATTGTCTATAGTACAAGTTGGGAACTGAACTAACAATCAGACTTTTAAAATATCAAATAATGTGGAGCTCACTAATTACAATTTAATACTCTGGTTTATGTTTTATACATGATGGCTACTATAAATATTCTATCACTGAAATGTAAAGCTAATGTCAATTTTTAAAGTATCTCTGTAGCAAGTCTAAAATCTTTGCAAATTTTTGGGACTCTTCTGGTGCAGTGGTAGACTCCAAATTAAAGTCCTACATGCCTGGGAGGTGTGGTCTAACATGTAGAAATAGGTTGATTAAAAATCTGAAACAAAAACAGAAATTGCTGGAGAGACTCAACAGGTATGGTAGCATCTGTGGAGAGAAATCTGAGTTCATAGTTCAAGTTCAGGTTCAGTAACCTTTCTTCAGAACTTCAGTCCTGCTGTTGGAAGGGTCACTGGACCTGAAACATTAACTCTGATTTCTCACCACAGATGCTACCAGACCTGATGAGCTTTTCCTGTAACTTCTGTTTTTGTTTCTGATTTCTAGCATCTGCAGTTCTTTCAGTTTTTTTAATTAAAAATCATTTCATTTTAAGAATTCTACTGTTTATTTTAAAATGACTTAGAAATTCCTTGTTATCTTGCTATTATGCCTTCTTGCTATCTTAAAAGTTTGTTTTTATTTCGTACATCAGCTTGGTACCAATGCCTGGTCTCCTCAGTCTATTGAATACAGTATCCAGCAGTTCTGTCTGCCTTTCCTCAGGACTACAAGCCTTCTTCAACACCACCTATTTGGTGATGATCTTCCCAGTTGTCAGGTATCTTGACCAAAATCCTAATCAGTATGTGATGTGGTGTACTATTTCAATAGCCTTAACTTTAAAAATAAACATATGTAAAGTGTTAAATACATACATGATACAATCTGGCAATATGATGCTTTAAAAATAAGAACTCATTGTTTGCAATTTAATTTATTTTCTACTAATGTTTATTATCTCTACAAAGGAGTAAATGAAATAAAAGTTGAATTATGTGCTTCCTGAAGGTTCTATCATTAAAGGCAAAATTAATCAAATTACAAAGACTAGGAAGTTGTTGGTTCAGTTTCCATTCTGTGCCACATAAGCTAGGCCTGAAATATTCTCAATGGGCACAAACAACATAAACTCACAAATATGTCCATTCCCATGCCTGTTCAGGTGATATCAAACGATATTTACATCTTCTGTGGATTTCATGACAGTACGCCCAAAAGTAAAACGTATAAACATTAAGGACTCAACACCACCTTCTCACTATGTATTTCCTTAAATTTTAAAATAGTAGTTTTAATTAATTTGGCTGTCATTTACCCACATTAAACACAGCATCTTAAAGACCTTGTTATGAGCCCCGACAAGAATGTCACTTTCATATTAAAACGTGGTGTAGGGCCAGTCACCTTTATGTAGAATCATATATTATAGAAGAGGCCCTTAGATCCATCAAGTCTGCACCTTCAAAAACTACTCTAAATCTACACTAGTTGCACTTTCCAGCACTTAAATGTTGCAACACTTAAATTGCTCATCCAAGTATTTTTTAAAAGTTGTGAGTCTTCCCACCTCAACTGTCCTCCTAAGCAGTGCATTCCAGATTCCCACCACAATTTGGGAGAACATATTTTCCTCAAATCCCCTCTAAGCCCCCTGCTTTTCACCTTAAAATTATGCCCCTTTGTTATTGACCATTCAACTAGGAGGAGCTGATGCTTCCTATCTACCCTGTGCCCCTCATAATCTTATAAACCTCTATGAGGTCCCTTCTCAGCCTTCTCTGCTGTAAAGAAAACAACCCAAGATTATCTAGTCTTTCTTTATAGCTAAATTTCTCCACCCCAAGCAACATTCCTGTGAATCTCCTCTGCATCTCCTTCAGCACAATCACATCCTTCGTGCAGTGTCGGAACCGCAGACAGTACTCTGGCTGTGGCCTAACCAAAGTTTTGTACAGCTCCAGCATAACCTCACTGCTCTTATAATCTGTCCCATGACTGACAAAGGTAATGTCCCATATGCCGCCTTAAGTATCTTAAAAATCTGTCCTGCTACCTTTAGGGATCTGTCACAAGCACCCCAAGATCCCTTTGATCCTCTGAGCTTTCTAGTGTCCTGCCATTCATCAAGTACTCCCTTGTATTGTTACTTCTTCCAAAGTGCATCAGCTTACACTTAGCAGGGTTAAATTCCATCTGCCACTGATCTGCCCTCTGACCAATGTCCTCCTGTAACACAAGACCTTCTTCCTCACTGTCAGTCAATTGGCCAATCATAATGTCATCCATAAATTTATTTATCATCTTCCCATTCCTGCATTTTCTTCTATATATCATGAACAAGAAGTGAACCAGCATTGATCTCAATGGTACACCACTGGATACCAGCCTCTAGTCTCACAAACAGCCTTCTACCACCACCTCTTAATCCTACCACTAAACCAGTTTTGGATCCAATTGCTAGGTTACCCTGGATCCCAAATACTTTAATCTTCTTTATCAGTCTTCCACATGGGATCTTGTTAAAGGCTTTGCTGAGATCCATGTAACTACATCAACTGCACTACCCTCATCTATACATCTGATCAGCACCTCAAAAAATTCATTCAAATTTATTAGGCCTGACCTCTCTCTGATCCCTCCCTGATCAAACTTGACATCTCCAAGTGATTAATTCTTTCCTTCAGAACTTTATCCAATAGTTTACCTACCACTGATGTGAGACTTGCTAGACTCTAGTTCTGTAGTTAGGATGAAGGTTGAGATTCCAGATATTCATTAAGAGAATAACTTAGGCCATGGGAACATTGGACTTACAGTAAGGCCACAGGATTCCACAGGTTTGAACAAGCAAACTAAGTTTACAAAGTTAGAAGAGTAATATTACTAACATTGTAGCGGGACGTAAATGTAAACTAACAGGAAAAACTGGCTGCTGACTCCATAGAGCACACTTTGAATAGCAGATGTGGTGAAGACAGATTCTCAGGATTTTCAGCAACCTGTCAGAAGATCCTGTGGGTCACCAAATTTTATTAAAACCTTTCCCCCTTTACAAAATTCCAAATATCCAGTTCCACATGTAAGCCTTGAAATGCTGCTGTCAGGGATTGCCTTAACTAAACAATCCTGGAAGTTGCTCCCTACCAATATTGTGGGTGTACTACACGAAATAAACTTCACCCATTCAAGACGTCTGCTCACCACCACCTTCTAGTGGGCAGTTAGGGGTGGGCAGTGAATGCTGACCCAATTGCATGCATTTATACATCATAAATATCACTTATCAGCCCAAGCTTGAATTGTCCTTTACGTGCTGCATTTGAACACTGATTGCTTCAGAACCTGAGGAGTCAAGAATGGTGCAGAATATTGCACAATCAATGGCGAACGTCTTGTTTCTCAATCGCAGCAATCTTTGTGTTACATATGACTCCAATCAGTGGGAAGTTTTTCTACTGATTATCATTGACTTCACTTTTGCTAGGGCTCCTTAATGCCAAACTCAGGCAAATGTTGCCTTGAAATCAAGGGCAGTCACTTTCAACACAGCTCTTAAATTCAGCTCTTTGTCCATGCTAGAGCCAAGCCTGCAATGAAGTCAGAATCTGAGTAGCCTTGGCAGAACCCAATCTGAGCATCAGTAAGCGTGTTCTACTTAAGTGCTGCTTAATAGCACTGCTGACGACCCCTTCCATCACTTTGCTGACAATTGAGAGTAAAATCATAGGACAGTAATTGACCAGGTTGAATTTGTCCTGGAAATCGAAGGTACTGCAGAATCTGTTGACATGAATTAGATCTTCGTAAATTGTTATTTGTTTCTTTTTCTTTGCTTTATTACAGTTACATTCCTGGTATTGAATCAGTACATGGCCATGTTAGAACAATTGTGGTATAACCGGAAAGCTATTATACATAATTTGAGCAAGTTGTATAATGTCATTCCACTACAGTTTAGTTTGAATCTTGTTTGAGCCACTGTACAGCATTGGTGCACAACTAAAAATGCTGGTTTACAGCAAACATCTAAACATCTGACCTTAAATTACTACCACAGGAAAATGCTTAATGGTAACTGTTTAGCAAGATTGACTTGCTTTTATTTTGTGTTGTAGCTGTTAGCAGATACCACCAACTATTCATATTTGAGTAATTATTTACAGTTGATAACTGAAGACATTCTGTCTTGAATTAATACTCTGTTCTTTAAATAAATTGCTATCAGATCCAATAAACCTATTTCTACATCAAATACTAATCTAAGGGTAAAGCATTCAAATAGGTGTGTACTACTTCTTCCATGTCTACTTTTTTCCCCTTTTGAATGATCTTCAAAATATTTCCTAATTTGTACTACCATTATTTTCCAACTATTAAAATAAAATAATGTAACAAATAAAATACACAATTTGTATTTGTAGAAATGTTTTTGCAAACTCAAAATATTGTGAATGATTGGAGAGTCAGTTATCCTCTTTGTCTGCTGATTTTCCATTAGTAGTGCACCATCATCATCATGAAATCGTGCTGCCGGGGAACTGTCATGTATGTGTTTAATGACTGATGCCAGCTTAATGTATTTTATAGTTTATTGCCTCAGCAATTTAATACACCAGATGGTTTATGTACAAATTACTTTTTTCCTCATTCACAAGCGAACAGAAGAATTTGGGATGCTTGCCAGTTATCTTGGGTTACTGCTGCCCTGTCTTCAGTCAAGTGATGAGGTCAGTAGTGCCACCTGCCTCGACTGGCCGATAGCAGCTCTAGATCTTATATCTCAGTGGTGTTTGGAAGTAACGACTTCTGCAGAAAGTCACTCAGAACATGTTATGGTAAGATTAACTCTTTGGCTTTTAACAGCAAATCTTATAAGTACATTTCATAAATATTTACTTCCACTTTTTGATTTTTATGCCATTTAGTGGTTAATTGCTGGTCTCCAATTCTGAAGACCTTTGGTGTAACGTAACACAGAGGAAGAGTGGGGGAGTGTGAAGGCATGCATACACCGTACTTGGGGTGTATGACTTTCCATGCTGTTTCAGTTCCATTGGTATACAAAACATAGAAAGGAAACATTGTAAATGAAAGCTTTGACGTTTCTTTATATTATTCAAACATACATTTGTATATCTGTTTTGTAATATATGTGTATCCCTGCTTCCCAGCGCCAGAAAATTCAGAAATATTAAATTGTATTGTCTTTATTTAAATGCTCAACTTAGCGAGATAAAGGCCATCTCAGCTTCAATCCATGCAATCAATTAATAACATTTGGACAGTTCCTCTTCAGTGTAGGTCTGGTTCTGAATTATTTGAGCATTACTATTCGTGTATTGTCAGAGAAGTGAAAATGATTGTTCAGATTTGCTAGTTTCAGCTTCGTTCAGACGTTCATTTTTATGCTAAAATGTGCATTAAAATGAACCTTGTGGAGAGATTTTTTTTTTCCGATGAGAAGCTCCTGAAACATTATCTTTTAGATCTATTAGATGAAGTTCCTTTAGACCTAAGAAGTATATTGTCTTAGCAATCATAAGGCATGGTCACCTCAGTTTCCAAATCAATTGATGGAAGAGCTGCAGTAGACAGTGAATAAAATCAGTCTTGATTGAGTAGTCCAAGTGGATTAGCTTGGCTTTCACTTGATGTGATGGGGGATATTTGAAAAGTCTAACACAGCTGACATTTAAGTAAATGAATGAACTTAACAGCTAAAACAGCAACAGATGCTGTATCAATATAAAATGTGATGGCTGTAAAAGAACATACATTCTTTCAAGAAAATGCCCATTAAATGCTACAGTATGTAAAGAGAATTGATACTGTGTAAATATTAGAGCATAATATTTTTAGAAACAAGATTGACAGACCATTAAATATAGCGAGTTTTGAATTGTTGAAACATAAATGGTGCTGTGGTTCATTTTAACAATTCATGTCACAACTAATTTGTTTTTAATGAAGTTACAGAATTAAGTTAAATTTTATCCATTTTTGTGAGACCATCAATTCCCAAAATATTACCTAACCCATCATTCTATCTTTTACCTTGAGAAACAGTAACCACTCCTATCTGTCCTTGCACTATAGAGGTAGGTGGAATTTAATGCCCTCCTGAAAAGGGGTTTCAAGGCTGGGGTTGGCATTTGATCAGACCAGGGAATGTGGACTGGGGATCTTGCTGCCTCCCCCGTTTAGTCTGGGGCAGGAAGAGTTGTGAGAGGCCTGTCTCCCCAGGCATGAAGGGAGGCCCTTAATTGAAGGCAATTAATGTCCATTTAAGGCCTGCATTATAGTACCTCAGATATTCAACTGGCAGTGTTCAGGGAACTCGCCATGGGGGAAGCCTGATAAGCAAACCCTTTTTAATTTGCTTGAGGCCTACTGTGGGGTGGTGGCAGATGGTGTAGTGGTTCCTCGCCACAAACACAGTGGCCCATTGAAGGACCTGACATCAGGAAGCGGGGGCTTACTGAGAGTTAACTTCCTGTCCTTCCTCAGAATCCCCTGTCTGTAACCCCCTTTCACGGTCACTTTTTTTTCCAAGGAGCCCATGCTGAAGAGCCAAGTGAATTACCAGCAGTAACCAGAATGCCCAGTGGTAACCATAAGACATAGGAAAAGAAATAGGCCATTCAGCTCATTGAGTCTGCTCCACCACTCAATGAGATCATGCTGATCTGATAATCTCAACTCCACTTTCCTGGTTTTTTTCTCCATAACTCTTGATTTGCTGACTGATTAAAAATCTGACTATTGAAAGTACTTGATGACGCTACTTCAATAGCCCTCTGCGATAACGAATTCCACAAATATATCACTCTCCAAGTGTTTTTTAAAAAATCCTCCTCCTCTGTCTTAAATGGGCAACCCCTTATTCTGAGATTATGCCTTCTAGTCAACCCTTCTACCCTGTCAAGCCCCCTAAGAATCTTTCAATAAGGTCACCTCTCATTCTTCTAAATTCCATTGACTACAAGCCCAAAATTCCCGACCTCGACTCATAAGAAACATCCCTCCATAGCTGGTATCAGCCTAGTGAACTTTCTCTGGTCTGCCTCCATTGACAGTAAATGAGAGGAACAAAACTATTCACAGTGCTACAGCTGTGTTCTAACCAGTACCTTGTATAGTATTAGCAAGACCTCCCTTTTTTTATACTCATTTCTTTTGTCACAAAGGCCAACATTTTACCTTTTGTGATTCATGCATTAGGATCCCTAAATATCTGCTGCAGCTTTCTGCAGTCTTTTCACATTTAACTAATAATCAACTCTTCTCTCTGCCAAAGTGCATAACCTTACATTTTCCCACATAATATTCCATCTGCCAAATATTTGCCCGGTGCACTTAATTTGTCTACAGTCTTTGTAGACTCTTTCTGTTATCTTCAACTTGGCAACATTACATTCACTTTTCTCACCCAAGTCATTCATGTATGTTATGAATAATTGTGGCCCCAGCACCAATTGCTGTGGCACTCCCCTAGTTACCGGTCGGCATCCTGAAAATGCCCCCTTCGTCTCAACTTTGTTTCTAGTGCTACCAGCAATGGAGCATTGCCAGCCATTGGTGGGTCTGCTACTCTCTGAGGTGACATTTCCATTCTACTGATGGAGTCCTAACATTAAGTCCAAAGATGTACAGGTTAGGTGGATTGGCAATGCTAAATTGCCCATAGTGTCCAGGGATGTGAAGGCTTGGTGGATTATCCATGGGAAATACAGGGTTACAGGAATAGGGTATGGGGGTGGGACTGGCTGGGATGTTCTTTGGCCAGACGGCAACACTGTATGGACCGAATGGCCGCCTTGCACGCTGCAGAGATTATGTGATGATTCTATGATTAAAGGTACCTAATGTAGCTAGTAGCCCAGTGGCAAGGTCCTTGCTGCCAATTGTGGATCTAATTATTTTGAGGCTTCTGGATATTGGATTGCTGAGGATGCTATCAGTTTTGTGGTGGACATTGTGTTCATCTCACCACCCTCATTGACTTCTACTCTCTTTCTCCTTCTAAATTCCTTTCGAAGTTCAAGCAAGTCCTTTTTTTTTTTCTCCTCCGTCTCGGAGTTCAGTTACTTTTGCCTCTTTCACTGCCTGCTTTATTCCCTTCTCCCTTGGACCATTCTGTTATTTTCCACTTTCCTTCTCCTCTTCCTAGCCCCACCCCACTAACCCTGTTTCTTGGATTATATCTTAGTATCAGTGTTGACCATGGCTATTGTAGACAAAAATAAACTTACATTATTAGCATTTGATGGTTCAAGATGTTTTATAGTGTGTATGCCCCAAGGGGATGTGATCATATTTAGCACTTTTCTGAACCCTTTATTCTTTATTCATTTACGGGATGAGGGTGTCACTTGTTATGCAGCATTTATTGCCCATCCCTAATTGCCCAGAGGGCAGTTAAGAGTCAACCACATTACTGTGGGTCTGGAGTCACATGTAGGCCAGACCAGCTAAGGATGGCAGTTTCCTTTCCTAAAGGATATTAGTGAACCAGATGGGTTTTTCCAACAATCGACAATGGATGCACGGTCATCATTAGATTCTTAATTCCAGATATTTGTTGAATTCAAAGTCCACCATCTGCCATGGCAGGATTCAAACCCGGGTCTTCAAAACATTATCTGGGTCTCTGGATTAATAGTCTGGTGATAATACCACCAGGCCATTGCCTCCCCTAAACAATAAACTGATTGCACTAAAACAAAGTACCTGGAAAAATGCTTTAACATTGTGCAAAATTAAACTGTCTAGTTTGTTCATGTTTATTATTTTTACATAACCTGTTTGTAAACTAAATATTACCAACTTTACTTAAGTTTCATAATGCCCATAAGGAATGATTGTAATGTACCTACAATATTCAAAACAAGATAGATAAGTACAACAAACCTAATTGGGCATGTAGTGGAGACAACAGAATCAGCAGCCATGATCGTAGCAATATTCAGAATAGGAACTGGTCATCCATGGAGCCTCATTTACCAAAATCAGTTGTTGCATCTGTTGAAGGACAGTTTGCAGCTTGGCACATGCAGGAATCAGCAATTTGTGACCTTGATTCTGCATTATGATTGGTATTTGGATTATCTGGGTACATATAGCAATGCTGTAAAGAAAACTTCAGTATCAGCTATTACAACTGCCTGCTGCGAAGAAAGGTATTTTTGGGGCATTGACAGCAGCTGCTGTAATCCTTTTTAAAATCTCGGCAGTAAACATAAGCTTTGAAAGTTGAAAATCTGGAATCCCTTTAAATGTTCTAATTCTACTGGTAGACAGAGTCTTGGGATACAATGCACCTATGTCTGCCGTCACGTTGTTTTTGAGTGATATCCATGGTCAGATGTTTGCATTTGACATCATCTTATGCACTTGCTGATCTCTCATTTGTGACACAGGTAGAACCTCCAAGGGTTTGTTGCTATTTGGGAAGGTTTACTGCAGATCTATAGGCCTTGGAGACCGAGTGTTGGTTGTTCTGTATATTTCATAAGCACTATGGTTTTCATGAGGCCAACAGATAACTGTAGAACCATGTTGTAGTTGCTTTATCAACAATGATGGAGAGATTATTAATGGGTGTTTCTTCCTATGTCCGGTTTTGATGAATATATCTGGTAAGTCTCTGATGGAAGGCCTGACGTCTGATCCATACTGTAGGTTTCTACCATGTGTATTTGTAGTCAGCAAAAGATGTCAAGACTTCGTTCCACACCTGGATTTTGATCCTGAGTAGATTTATATAGCAGAAAAGTTTAAGACGAGTACACTTCAATAGTGAGCATAGAATATTAGTTGGTATAACCCTGAACTCTGTATTTGTTGATGGGAATTACACAGAATTCTATAGTGAGAATTTTCAACAAATTACATTGAGGACAGAAACTTCACAACCTGTGCCCCACATTGGGAGTTTTCAGAAAACTACATCTTGATGATTTGCCTGTGATCAGGATAGTTAAATAGATTATTTTGGGTCTAAAAATGTTCATACTTCAATTAATGGACATTTTAAATGGCTCTTAGTGACCCCTCAGGGAAACTTTGCCATGAAGGTTAGTTTGATTGTGAACAGTGTCAAAGTTTGAGACTCAAACGCTTTCTTTATGCTTTCAGAATCTACTTGTTCAGGATCCACAGTGGTCTTTACCATGCCTTCTTCAGCTACCAGAAAATTACAATACCATATTTCAGTACTATCATCGTAAAGCCTGTGTTCACTGTTCAAAGGTGCCTAAGGATCCAGCTCTTTGTCTAGTATGTGGTACATTTGTGTGCCTCAAAGGTCAATGCTGTAAACAACAAAGCTATTGTGAATGTGTCCTGGTGAGTAAATAAAATTTAATTTTGATCAGATAGGACAAATAGAATTTTTGGTTTAACTAGTCAATATTTTGTGGTTTTCCACAATGAGAATCAAGTCCAAATGTCATCTTCCATGAAGCATTTAGAGAGTGGGCTATAACTGGATCTTGTCAGACAAATTCAATTATCTCCCCAGTTTAAAATAAATTTAATAGTCTTTTACCTCTTGATAAACCCTTAAAGCATGACTGTTTGTTTAAGCTTTTGCTTGTTCCTTTCTGCCATTATTTTTCTTAACCCGACATTTTTTTGTCATTTTTTTTTCCCACATTAAAGGTACTATATAAATACAAATTGTTTTAGATACCATTCTAAATTCTTATTCTTCATTTATAATCAATGCTGCTTGGCTACACATGTTGCACTGTATTTCTATCTTCAACTAGCAATAGGATATGGTTAATACATGCGATGTCCTTTGATTCGATTTGGATGATAAATGAATTCATCCTAACTGGCTTACTGTCTGTTTCTTTCCCCACCCCTTCTGATATTTTTTTGTTAACAGGTCAAGTTACTCACTCATATTGCCAGGCATCTGGTGTGGCTCAGATGGTAGGAAGTTTACTACTAATTCAGAAGTTGTATGCATTCAAGTCCACTCAAAAACCTGAGCACATCTGCTAGGGCTGACACTTCTTCAGGGCAAAAATGATGGAATTCAGCACTGTGCTAGTCATTTAGTTGAAATGTCAAAACAAGATCCCATTTACTGTCTTGCCACTATTTCAAAAAGAGTGGGAGAGCAATTCCTGGTATCTTTGCCAGTATTTCTTTGCAATCAAAATTACAAAAAAAAAACTGGTTGTTAGTAAGCTCCCATTTGTGAATATTATCTGCCACATTTATTACATTACAATGATTGCAATTAAGATGTTACTTATTTGGGATAACCAGTGGTCATCTTTATTCATTCATGGGATGAGGGTGTCGCTGGTAGGCCTAGGCAGCATTCATTGCCCATCCCTAATTGTCCAGAAGGCAGTTCAGAGTCAACCACCTTGCTGTAGATTTGGAGTCACATGTAGGCCAGACCAGGTAAGGATGGCAGTTTCCTTCCCCAAAGGACATTAGTGAACCAGATGGGTTTTTCCAACAATCGACAATGGATGCACGATCATCATCAGATTCTTAATTCCAGATATTTATTGAATTCAAATTCCACCATCAGCCATGGTGGAATTTGAACCCCGATCACTAGAATGATATCTGGGTCTCTGCATTAAACAGTCCAGTGATAATACCACTAGGCCATTGCCTCCCCTTGATGAAAGGTGCTGTGTTAATTATATGACATAAAAGCAGCAAGATAAAATTTTTGAGTCTTCACACCTGATACAATTAAAAATCTCTCTGAACATGCAAGGTAGTTTTCTGACCATTGGCTGTTTTGCTACCTTGGGCATTGTTCAACAGTCTACCCTTTTATGCTGTACTATACTCTATTAATTTCTAAATATAATCAAGTGTGCTGTTCACATGTCCATTTTTTCCAAAAATTTTGCTTATCTGGGCAAAATTTACTGGACAACCTTGTTTGCACAAAATCTTACATTCTCTTATCTGCAGTTTTAAAGAAAAAAAGCATGTCTCCAGGTTTAGAAAGTACACATTGCATGTGAACAATCTGCCATGTTCACTGTTGTGAAAAGTCACTGTTCAGGCAGTTTTTGAGGAAAGTATTCCCACAAACAGTGGGACTTCGCTGTGTTGCCATTTTCTGTTTGAGTTTTTTTTTTAAATTGTGTAACAAAGTCATTGATTTAATGATACCATTGGCTTTTTGTTGGAGATTCCTGCTCTTAAAATGAGTAATAAATTGTGTGACTTACATTTATATAACACGTTATATAGCCAGACATGGAGGTGGGTAAAATTACAACATTTAAGACATCTAGATATGTGAACAGGAAGGGTTTAAAAGGATATGAGCCAAATGCTGGCAAATAGGACTAGGTCAGATTGGGATGTCTGGTCGGCACGAATTGGACTAAAGGGTCTGTTTCCGTGCTGTATGACTCAATGACTCTATTTTATAGCCAGTAAATTTCTTTTGAGGTGTAATCACTGTGCTTAGCAAGCTCCCACAAAGAGCAATGTGATAATGATTGTATAATGTGCTTTTTGGGATATTAATTGAGGGATAAATAAACAAATCAATTGCATAACCCTGCTGCTCTTATTGGAAATAGTGGTGCTAATAACAGGGTAGGTCAGCAGATTTCTTCCTTAAACAAAATAAGCAAACCAGTTTTTTTTGACATTCCATTAATTTCACAGCCATGGTTATTGAAACTAGATCTTTGCTCACATTCTATTTATTCAACTGCATTTTCATTGCTCCAGTTGCTGTGGCTGACTTTGAATTCATGTCTCTGTACCATTAATCTGGGTCACTATGCCACAGTGTTCCAGAGGTGTGTCTTCTATGGCTGAGTTGATTGTAGAACCTAAAGAATATTTACATATAAAGAATGGTAAAACTGACTTATAGTGTACACAATTGAATCCATTTATGATAATGTTAACTATGCATGTTCAATCAACTAACTTTCTTAACAACTCTAACAGATTTTGGGACAAACTTTCACTTTGGAATTACCGGAAAGCTGGTGGCTAACGGCTGGGTCAAAATCAATGAAAGGAAAATTGGGTGAATTGTACTGTGGTGGCATACCAGCTACTTTTAGATTTATATCTGTATCTAAAGTGAAAGTTAATCTTATCTTTGGTAATTTTTGTTAATTCAGGATTAAATGTTTACAGGAATTTTTTTTCTAAATTACTTATCAGCATTCCCAGAACTGTGGAGCAGGAACAGGAATATTCCTTCTGATTAATGCCTCCGTAATCATCATAATTCGTGGGCACCGTTTTTGCTTGTGGGGATCTGTCTACCTTGATTCTCATGGTGAAGAGGACAGAGATCTAAGGTAAAAAATGGTTTTGACAGTGTTTCTTAAATTAGGAGCAGCAGTGTGATAATTTACTAAACTGGTAATTTGAAGGCATGACACGCCATTCAGATAAACAAAATGACTGTGAGCCTTTGAATTGACCTAAAAACGTGCTAATTCATTATTGTTCGTATATTTATCTTGGAGGGGTATAGCACAGATTCATCCAAAGGTACAGGGGTTAAAGGGGTAAATTATGAGGACAGTTTGCATAAGCTTGGCTATATTCTCTTAAGTTTAGAGAATGAGGGATGGTCTAATTGAGATTTCTAAAATAGAAAATGTATTTGGTAAGGCACAAGAGAACTATCCCCCTACTAGGGGAATCTAGAACAAGAGATTCTATTTTAAAATTAAAGTCAGTCCATTCTGTAATGAAATCTGGAGGCATTACAAGAGGTAGTGGAAATAACAACCTCAACTTGTATAGCACCGTTAATGTAATGAAACATCCTCAAAGTGCTTCCTAGGACAATTCTTAAGCAAAATAATACATGACATAAAGAGATATTGGGTCAGATGGCCAAGAACTTGGTAAAGAGTCAGTTTTAAGAATGACATTTTAAAAGAGGAGTGTAAAGTAGTGAGTTGTAGAGGGGTAACTGCAGCGCATGGCATCTAGGCAACTGAAAGCACTGCCACTATGATTGGGAATGCACAACAGGCCAGTATTAGAAGAGCACAGATATCTTGGAGGACTGGGAGTGGAGGAGAATATAGAGATGATGGTCACAAATCCATGGAGGGATTTGATATAAAGCCTGAGAATTTTAAATCAATACGTAATCATAGTCATGACCAATATACAGCACATCAACAGGTATGACAGTCACAAGATGATAGGAAAACAGGACTTTCTGTAAATTTAAGATATGAGCAGCAGGGTTTTGGATGACTCCAGGTTTATGTAGGGAATGTGTGGGAGACCAGGCAGAAATGTATTGAAATATTCAAGTGAGATAACAAAGACCATTCAGCTGGGATAGGGTGACTGAGCAATATTATGAAATGGAAACAGGTAGTCTTTGGGATGTCACAATATGAGTTTAGAAGCTTATTTCAGGATCAAATATATTGAAGTTGTGAACACACTGGCTTAAACTCAGACTTGTGCCATGAAGAGGGATGGAATCAATAGTTAAGGAACAGCGGAGTTAGAAGCAGAAATCCAAAACAATGGTCCATACTACCACTCTCCAATTTGTTGAAGTCCAGGCGCACTGACTCCAAGGAAAGTGCCCAGGAAATTTGAACTTCAAAAGATGATTCTGCTGCTCCGTGGGACTGTCTGCAGAAGTCTCCAGCTCTGAACTGAGTTGAAGACTTTAGACAGTTCCCTTTTACCTATCTGGATAGTTATCCAGGAAATGTTAGACAGAAAATTGCTAGTGTAATTTCTGGTAATAATACATCTGAAACCCTCTTCCACCAACAAATCCCTCTGACCACCCATCTCTCTCATCACCCGCTCTGCCTAGTCCCCACTACCTAACACTCATTTTTCTCACCCCAATCTGACCAGGTCCCACTATCCAATTTACCCGCAACCTTATTTGACTATTGCCAGTCACCCAATCTGACTAGCCACGGACCTAACAACCCTTCCTGGTTCAGTGGCCTGGCCCAATTTCTCTCACTTCTGCCATCTTACTCAGTTGCTATCTTATGCATTTATCCACTTTCCTCACCTACCCCTCAAATTCACACACATACACATCTATCCATTCCTTCACCCATACACTCATTCAATAACACATTGAAAAGCTGTTCAAAATGTTTCTAGGAATTCTAGTATATAAAAAACACTTGGCAGAATATGGCTACTGTGCTGTAAAAACAGAGAATGAGAGTAAAAATTAGTCAATTATCTGTGCTACAAGGAAGCAGTCTGATGGAAGACTGCTCCACACTTCTGAAGAAGACCTGGCCAGAGAGACGGGGCTCCGTTGCAGAAAAGTAGTAGTGGAGCAGCAATTCACCAGTGATTGCTGCTCCTGTGAAGATTCAGACTAATGGTTCAATCTCCACAATATTTAATTAGAGGAAATTTCTGCTCATCCAGTTTCTAAATCAAAGATGAGCCTTCTCATAGTTTAAAAATAGAGATGGAATCGAGAGAGTTAGTAGTGAGGTAGAACTGAGTGTCATCAGTGTACATGTGAAGACAAATACCGATCTTTGGATGATGCTGCCAAAGGGCAGCATGTAGATGAGAAATAGGAAGGAGGTAAGGATTGATCTATAGGTGACACTATAGGTAACAGTGCAGGAACAGAAAGAGACGCTATTGTAAGTCAATCTCTGTCTATAACTAGACTAGGAAGGAACCAATTGAGAGAAATTTAACCTAGAGTGACACCAGTGGAGCAGGATGGTGGGGTCAGTCATTGTAGACAGGTCAAAAAGGATGAGGGGGAAATGTTTATCTTTCTCACAGTCACATAGGATGCCATTTAAAACCTCAACAGCAGTTATTTCAGTCTTGCAGTGAAGGTGGAAGCCTGATTGGAAAGATTTACATGGAGTCTCTGGGAAAAATGGGGATGCATTTGGGGAAATAAGGTGACACGACATTCGAGGACTTGGATAAAGGGAGGTTAAAGATGGGACAGTATTTTGGAAGGATGGTGTGGTCATGGGTTAGTCTTTAAGGAGGATGTTAAGAGCAGATTTAAAGGAGAGACGGACACTAACTGAAGATGAGGAACTAATTACAGTATAAGTTAACACAGGGGGCAGGGAGCGATGTTGGGTGATCAGCAGTTTAGTTGAAATAGGTTGGAGGGAACAGTATGAGAGTTTCATGGGCAATATGAGCTCAGAAAGGACAGAAGGGAAGTTGGAGAAACTAAAGAAAGATGCAAGTTCATTGTTAGGACAAGGATATTTGGCCAAGCAGATAGTGTAGAGAGGGAGTGACAGATAGCTGATTGGATTGTCTTAATCTTTGTAACAAAGAAGCTCATGGGCTCCTCATAATGGAAATATTTCCCTCAAAGAGCTGTGGATTTTCAGTTAATTGAATGTTTTCAAGACTGAGATTGAAAATAATTTATTGGGTGAGGTCACCAAGAAATTTAATCAAAGACAATTAAAACATAACTAAGTTCCAGATTAGCCTGCCCTGCCATATTGAGCTGTAAATGGTGGTGTGAGCAGAACAATTAACATAAGGCAGAGGCTTCACAAACATCTCCATCCTGAATAATGGGTCTATATTGTTGGTGCAAAAAGTGAGGCTGAAGTCCCCACGATTATATGTGCCAATCTTAAGCAAGCATTATTCAGTTCACATGATAGCAAAAAAACAACTAAGTGCAATGTTTAACAGCAGTGATATGGATCCTTAACATTTCAGCTATAATACTGAAGACTTGTGCTTCAAAACTAGTTATGACCCTGGCCAAGCGCTCTAATACAGCTACAGCGCTGCAGCAGTTCAAAATGCTCCTTCACCGGGACCGTCCAAACCTGCAGACTTGACCATCCGGAATAACAAATGCAGGCGTTGATTCAATTACGTGATTTGTAAGTATCAATGCTCCATCTATGCTGAGTGAGATGCCTGGTCCACCTCCCCAGCAGTCCTCTGGAAGTACCTGCACAGCATATGGCCTGCATTGTATCAAAATCTTATGCTTGTCTCTAAGGCAGTTTACGGATGGTCAATTGATGAATGCTAAGGCAGCGATGCCCCTATCTCATGAGCAAATAAATCTAAAATTAGAACACCGATTTGCTTCAAGGAATTGATTGGTCTATTTTTGTTCACAAGTATATAATTACTGATTATGTTGGTCATCTCGTGCTCCATATGGCTGCTTTTCTGTTTGAAAATGTTTTGATCATTTTTAACTGTTGGCCCTGGCAAAATGAAATGCTCTTGATTAACTAAAGATACTTATGTACAAATAAACATGAATTCAGAACATTCAATCTCGTCATTCAATATGATCGTGGCTGATCTCATTGTGGCTTTAACTTTATATTTTCATTTTTGCTGAGAATTGAAAGTTGTACGGATCATGTAAAACTATGTTCTGAACATGAAATTGGATTTGCCATCAAGAATGAACACATCAACTGATCATTGGAGCTCCCTGTCAGCATAACGATCACCTCGTGATTCTGTTGTCTACAACCTTCCAAAAAGCAGCAGGCAACGGGTGTATGTACCTATGCCTCATCTTTGATGCCATTGATGAGTCCAAAGAGGGCTCCTGCTCCACCATAGACACCATAGTCAGAAACATTGCTCAGGAAAGTAAAATTGTCCTCCCTGGGAGCTTCAACATCAGGGTTGCAAAGGAACCGTTAGAGAGGAAGGAGTTGGGATTTGAAACTCCAGCAGGATTTTCCTGCTTGCCAAATGTGTGGAATACCAGCTGGTCATCACCAGTACAGTGTTCTGCCAAAACGTCAAGCTCAACACTTCCCAGAGACATCGGTGATCAAAGCTCTGGCACATGATAGGCTACATCATCATTTGATTCTGAGACCAAAAAGATGTCCTCATCACCAATGTGCTGACCAGTGCAGATAAGTACTGAACAGACCACCTGCCCATCAGCTTTCACCAGAAGCAGCTAAGATGAAGAAACGTTTCAGAAAAAAGTTCATCCTAGAGTGATTTCAAGAACCAAGCAGGCTAGCAAACATCAAACAATGTGTTCACCATAATTTTCAAACAGTTCACTCTAATTGAGTGGAGAAAAAAATGGAAGGAGCTGAAGACAGCCATCGTCTTTCACTGTGAATAAACTATCGTTTACAAGAACAGGAAACACCCAAGACTAATTTGATGATAATGACCACATTGTCCAGGTTCTCATCAACAAGAAGAGGAATCCAGAAGATATGCAGTTTAAGTGGATTGGCCATGCTAAATTGCCCATGGTGTCCAGGGATGTGCAGGCTGGGTGGATTTGCCATGGGGAATGCAGGATTACAGGGATTGGGTAGAGGGGTGGGTCTGG